GGCTCAGCCATTGCAAAACTTCAATTTTCTTCTGGTAAAGCAATTCCTTTGTTGATTTGGATGTATGCTTGGCGACATTGCATGTGCTAAAAGGTGAAATTCTGCTTCATCTTCAGCTTTCTAGCAGATACCTGAAGGTTTTGGGCCAAAATGAACTGATATTTGGAACTGTCCACAATTCCCTCCATCTTGACTAAAGCCCCACCAACCCCAAAGCACCATGGTTTTCTTTTGGTGATGCGCCGTGTCGTTTGTTTACTAAACAAACCTTTTGAAATTGTGCCCAAAAAGTTCAACATGGTTTCATCAGATCATAACACATTTTCCCACATGCTTTTGAGAGACTTGATCTATTTTTTTTGCTAAATTTAGCTTGGCTTGGATGTTTTTCTTTGTAATAAAATGCTTCCACATTGTGACCTTACCCCATATTCCAAACATATGGAGAATATTAGAGATTGTTGTCACAACCAGTACTTGTCAGAAATTCCTGCAGCTCCTTCAGTCTTGTCATCTTCTCTTTTCAAGTTTGGAGGGACGTCCAGTTCTTGGTAACGTCACTGTTGTCCCATATTTTCTCCACTTCTTGACTGCCTTCACTGCGTTACATGGTAATTCTAATGCCATGGAATTTTTTTGTACCCTTCTCCTGACTGATACCTTTCAACAATGAATCCCTCATGCTTTATAAGTTCTCTTTGAACCATAGCTTTTGCTGTAGGATGCAACTGATTAAATGTCAGGAAAGTCCTATTAGGACCACTAAACTTTATTTGGGGTTATCCAGAGTCATTGTACTTGATGGCAGGTGTGTACCCAAAAAGACTGAACACTGTAATTAAATCAAAAACTGCTTCGACAAAGTATTAGTTTAAGGAAATGCACACTTATGCAACTAGCTTATTGTACGTTATTTATTGTTTTATATTTTTCCCTCTAACTGATTTGTTTGTTTTCAATTGAATTGTATAGGTTATTACGGAGCCCCTAAGTGGTCAGGGAGGGAAAATATTTTTAAGATGGCTTTGCATTCCGTCGCAATACTGTTGCATTACCATTGCGATTCCACTACATTTGCCCACTTGTTATTTACTGCAACATGACGGCACGGATAAACCTAAATACAGACATGTCCCGTAAAGTGTGCTTTGAAACTATTAAAATATGGGGAACAAGGTACACCATGTTACTTTAATATTATGCAATTTTATACGTAGGCCTATTTATAAATACATAAAGTGTCCATTCACCAGTGATTTTAAGCAGTCAACTGGGTTATTGAATGTGACGTGCAGTCACAAATATTGAAATATATTACAACCATTGAAAGATATTACAGCCAAAAAAACCCATATAAAGACAACTTTACGGCGGTGTCAGAGTTGGTTCGGGTTTAAACCTTAACTAAGACACCGCGGTAAAATTAACTTTACATTTAATTTTCCGGCTGTAATACCTTTCAAGAAAACAAGCGGCATCCCTTGGTTTCCCAGATTTATTTGCATATTTTAATTAATATTTCATTGTTTTTGTGTGCAATTTACTTTCAATAATCCAGATGTTTTGTTTACA